AAACATAATCTCAACTCTCGTTAATAACATAAAATATTACAAATGCCTATTGTAATTACTTGCATAATCACTCCTTAATAAACCGGACATTTTTTCATATGTTAAAAAAATACGGGCCATTTTTTCATAAAAACATAGAAAAGACCGGTAATAACATATTAAATTTTAACGATGTTAATGATGCAGTCTAATTCTGTTAATAACGTTCATGGCTATTACTAATCATTTCAATATCCTTTTGTTTCACGCTTATTTGGACGAAGAGAGAGGCGAGTATTTGAAATGGAAAGTGGTGGGCGGCATGAACTGCTATTTGACGCCCGTAACATTACTATTTGCCGCCCATAGTTATAACGATATTTACTATTTTACCCTTTTCTTTTTTTTTTCAAAATCCTAATCTATTCCGACCTCTCCAACCCCATCCCATCCCACCCGTCGTTGCTCTCCTCCATGCCCCTTCGACGACCATCGATCACCGTCGCTGAAGAACTCTGGGCCGCCGACGAGCGTCGTTGTTCCCCTCCCTCACCTCATGGACGGAGATGGGTGGTTCGTTGCTTGCAATCAGACTGACTAGATGCACGGTCCGCCGCCGGGAGTCGGACGGGGTCCGCCGCCGGGAGTCGGACGGGGTCCGCCGCCGGGAGTCGGACGGGACGATTTCTTTCCCGAAAAATCGATTTGATTCATAATTAATATTAAGTATAAAAATATTGTATTAAATAATCATTAAAACCCAAAATTTCTTTAATTAACCCACATATATCCATTTCTCTAATTAACATCCGCCGGTAATTATGGAAATTATTAAATAATACAATACATGGAAATAATCCCAACTAAGGATCATCCCTAATTGACAAACGTAAGAAATTCCCTTAATTAATTTGTCTTACCTTAATTACCACGTCTATCTCCATAACCCAAGTTTAATTTCATTTAATTAATTGACATCCAAAAAAAATTCCATAATCAACATGTTGTATTGCATAACCCACGTCTAATTTCAATTCCTTAATTAAAAATAAGAAAAATTCTTTTAATTAACACGACTAATCCCATAAAATAGATATTTGGTATTATTAATCACAACCAAAACAAATTCCTTAATGAAACAATACGTGGGTATTGGTTCAAATAATTATTTATTGATTTGTACAATATTTATAATTATTCATAATAAATTTATATAATTGAATCATTTAACCACAAGCTGAAAAAATTAAGCATTTCTTTCCCCATTTACACCTTCTACCTCTCCCAAACCCTAAACCCTTACTCCAACCAAATAACTTCCTTTAATCTCGATCCATCCAATTCTACTATGACATTGTCTTAGAGGCAAAATCGTCTCTTCCTCCACTAACAACAATTGTTCACATCGTCGGAATACGCATGTTAGGCCCAAGAAACTGCTCGTTATGACCCCCAGAGCCCCCAAAAACCTCGATGAATATTTTGACACTACTTATACTTTTCTGTCCCCTATGTCCGAACGAGAATCGGTCGATTCCACCATTTTCGTATCCACATTTTTTACACTATTCGTAGTAATTGCAAAAAAATCTTTTGTAGCCATTTTATCAAATTTAATAAGTATTTTATAGTCACTCTACACAATTAAAATGATTTTTTCATAAGTTTGTACAATATTTTTGGATAATTTATAATTAAATATTCATAATAGTATACAATATTTCTGATAAATTATAATTACATTAAAACCATATAACTAATTTAATAAGTATTTTATTGTCATCCTAACTAATTTAATAATTTTGAATCTTTATCTCATTTTTTTAATAGAATCCTCGTTAATCACTAGTCACTACCAACCTAATTTAATATAATTATAGTTTTTTTATAAACACAATTATAGTTAATCACTACAACATCTTTCCTAATTAAATGATAAAACTGAAATTGATATAAAATAATAACAATAATTCCCCCTAATCTACGGCAGAATCATGTTCCTACTATCATTTACTATAATAATAAATCTTAATATTAATCTCTTTCTCTCTGCAATTAACCTCCCTCAAATTTCTCTTCCACTCCCAATTTTTTCCGTTGAATACTCTCTCTCCATCCTTTCCTTCTCTATCTCTTCGTTCGTCTACAGTTGGAACGCGCCGAGTCATCCGCTCGCCGGCGTCGGACCCCGTCCGCTCGCCGGCGTCGGACCCCGTCCGCTAGCCGATGTCGGACGGGGTCCGACGCCGGTGAGCGGACGGGGTCCGACGCCGTTGAGCGGACGGTGTCTTTTTTCAGTAAAAGTCGCCGGATAAAAATGGAGCTTATCTCATTCGCCGGCAAGTGTGGTTTGCTGATTTGATGACAGTGGTGGTCCGTCAGGGTGGCTCCGGTGATGGTGGTTCTTCGTCGACGATGGTGGTTTGATGACAATGGTGGTCCGTCAGGGTGGTCCGTCGACGATGATGGTGATGGTGGTTATCTGGCTCCGGTGAAAGAATTGTTTGTTAGAATAGAACGTAACCAAATAGCAGGGGCAAAAATGTCATTTGGATTTGAAATACGGGCGGCAAATAGTAAAGAAGCGGACGGCAAATAACAACCCTCTTTAGCTTTAGGGGAATGGGGCATTTACTATTTTTTCACCGGCAATTATTATTATTAACAACATTAAATAATTAATTAAACTACCTCATTTGCCCTTCTAGTTAGTTATCTTCCTCCTATCTCTTTCCTCTTCTTATTGGCCAGCAAAACCTTAAGGAGCTCCTTAAGTCTTGGGCTTAAGGACCATCATCCAGTATTGTCTAAAAATGGTTTCTGGACATGAAACCTTCGATTAAAAGCTTTCAGTTTGCTTTGTTGTAGTCTTATTTTGAGAATGGTAACATGATCAGATGTTGTTGAAATTTGAAAAGCATAGCAAATTTCTACGGGTTGTTGAAAGTTTTGGTTTGGGACTTTGGGATTGCTCTCATGTTTGCACAATGTTGAATTGGAGTTTGTGACTGTTTTACGTTTGATTCTAAAGCTCGATCTGGTTTATATCATGTACAATGAGGCAAAGTAACAAGACGTACAAATTCTATGGCTCTCGTTATTGAATATATGTGTAGAATGTAATGTGTTGTATTAGTACGTAAGTGTGGCCCAATAGAGTTTGTAGTTTACGTTAGGCCCATGCAACCACATCTAGCCCACGCACGTAGAGAAGCTGAACTGGTGGTGCTAGGTTTGGCCATTAGAGGGTATTTATGTTGAGCTTGTCTATCCTGTATGTTTAACGATCATCATCATTCATCAGTAAGAACTATAGTCGAAGAGTGTTGAAACTCTTCCGTGGATTAGTCCTGGATATCCAGGGATACCACGTAAATCCGTGTCTGACTTCATTTCAATTCCCGTACTGATAAGATAATCAACATGGTATCAGAGCCTTCTGTAAACGTGAGGTCTTCTGTTCGATTCCCGGTGACCCCATCTGTTTCTGTTAAGCACACGGTGTCCGGACCTGTGCCTGTCCAAACTCCAAGCCTATCTGAATGGCTTGAGTTTGAAGGGGGTATTAGTAAACGATATATGATCCACGATTGAACCTCTCCCAACAACTCGAGTTATTGGGATCAACTGGTTCTTGACACTTGTCATTCAGTTGAGCGGTGATTTGATATATAAAGCACTGCGTGTCTCTGGGCGTAAGTTGGTCTAGTGCTACTCCCTGGTTGCTGTGGCAAAATATTACTGTTTCATTCTTAACATGCACAATGATGATATCAAATCATCAAATGTTTGAGCATGTAGTTTGCTTTTCCCTTATCTGTTCTTAGCAATACAAGCAACTCCACTTTATTGCAGTCGAATATGTCCTCAAACTATGGCTAATATGCTTTGTTGTTAAACTGCTAGTTTTCATGTCTGCTAATGCATGAAGTGAAATGAAGAGAAACTAACAATAATGATCTTCATCATTTGTTGAATGTATTTGTAGAGTGGATCCTCATGACTAGAGGTGGCAAATGTATTGGTGGATTGATGGATCCAAGGATCAAATGGATTGGTGGATTCATGGATTGGATCAACTGGATTGGTGGATTATTCATGAATCCAAATTACATCCTCAACCAAGGATCAATATGTAAAATGTGAAAAGTTTAGGTACTAAAATGTCATAATGAAAAAATTTAGGTACCAAAACTTAATTTTCCAATGATATTTTTCGTGGACTAAAAATTGTAAATTCAGCTTTGTTACCAAACAATATTAAAATTCCTCGATTAAGAATTTTGCTCAGTGAAAATATGGGCGGCGAAAACCCAAAAAATCAGGTGAAGGATTAAGAGCCTCTGACGCTAATGGTGAAAAGGCGACACAACAGGCAAAAGAACGAGTGAAACCTTCTGCATGGAAATTGCCAGATGAGACCCTAGATGATGGGACCCAGTTAATATGAATGGAGTGAAGGATCAAGGGACCCCGAGGAAGCAGTCAGGGGAGGCTTGGAAGGGACGTGAAGGTGTGGCCCGTCGGCTGTTCAATAAAGGTGTGCGAACTAAGGAGTGGTACGTTGATGACTCTGATGTAGAGGACGTAGCTGAAGCAGTGCATGAGGATGGAGTGGAAGAGGATTTTGATGAGGAAGATGATCCTACCTTCCCACCGATCCATTTTTCGGAAGCAGAGAAAAGGATGTATAGGCAGCCATGGAGATCTGGCCTAGTCTTCAAGCTGTTGGAAAGATCTACTTCGTATATGCTGATATCAAATCGTCTAAATACACTTTGGGCCAAATCTGAGGGACTCCAAATCACAAATGCAAGGAATGGTTTATACCTGGTGCAATTTATGAGTGTGTACGACTTTGAATGGGCATTGACGGGGGCCCTTGGATGATTGGGGATCACTACCTGACGGTGCATCTCTAGGATAAGCATTTTGATCCGTACAACACTAAGATCTCTACGAGTTTGGTATGGGAAAGATTACTTGACATACCAATCTATTACTTCCATAAAGATGCGGTGATGAAGATTGGGAGGCGAATAGGTAAACCCTTAAGAGTGGATAAGGCGATGGAGGAGCCAGCGAGAGGTGAGTATGCTAGAGTTTGTGTGCAGGTCGACCTAACTAGACTTTTACTCTTCTTCGTTTAAGGTTGATGGAAAAGTATTTTATCTAGCACGAGGGTTTGGAAAATGTGTGCCTCAAATGTGGTGTCTATAATTAACGTGCAAGTTGTCTGTGTAAGGCTACAGGGGTGGCGATGAAGGAAAATAATGTAACTCAAGAGGTCCCTAAAACACAAGATGAACCAGACAGTTTATATGGTGAATGGATGATCGCAAAAAAGGATAAGAGCCAGACCAGAGAAAAGCTCAAGCGAAAGTGCATGTGGAGGTGATCGAGACTCGAGGAAAGCATGTAGGAACAACGCATAAAGAGGGACCAAGGCATAATAAAATTGATGTGCTATAGGCATATGAAGGGGTGGAGGTGGCTAAGCCCTTGGAAGAGGTACCAGTAGCCAGCATGACGAATGAAAAAAGTGTATCGCATAATGGGACACCTGAAGCAATAAAAGGGCACAAGGAATGAGATGAAGCTGAAAGAGAATAGGAAGGAGGATGTGGTCGCCAACACTCAAGGGCGAAGTTTTATGGAAGTGGTGCAACAAATAAATATGTATGGGGAAGGTGGAATAAGTACCCAGGTGGATCTTGACCGAATGCTAAAAGACCAGATAGTAGAGAAGGAAAGATGGACTTTGCAGGATGTTGGCCCTCCGTACGCTTTCAGCTCCAAACAAATTAGTAGTTTCCAACAAAAGCAAGTGAGTATTTTGGAAACAAAGGAAAGGAGCAAGAGTGGGAAGCCCAAAGGGGCGAGCTTTCAGAATGGCGCGGGGAGCCCATCCCCTTTCGAAAATAAATGAGGATTCTCAGCTAACTGCCACAGATTGGGGAACTCGCGAGAAATGAGATCTTTGCATGCACTCCTTCGCAGATTGTTCCCCCATGTGGGTTTCCTCAGGGAAACTAAGCAGACAGTTCAATAGAATGATGAGTTAAGGGAGTTTATGTGGGTACAAAAATGAAGAGTGTTGTTCGGCGGTGGTGACATCAAGAAGCAGGGCTGGTGGTGTGTGTTTAGTGGGGAGAAGACGTGACCATTACTCGTATGGATTTTGACTTTCACTACCTTGATATTGCAATTGACGAGGAAATAAAAGGGAGATGGTGATTTATCGGTATTTATGGTTGGCCGGAGAATGGTGAGAAGTGGAGGATGTGGGAGTTATTGCACTCGCTCAGCCACCAAAGGGATGTCCCTTGGCTAAGTGGGGATGATTTCAACCAAGTTCTATCCCCTATAGAAAAAAGTGGAGGTCAGGGAGGTCAAGAGATGGATATGACGAGATTGGGGACTTCCTAAATGACATAGGTCTACAAGATCTGGACTTTCACGAGTACCCTTATACTTGGGATAACAGGCAAACTAGGAATGGATTTATAAAAGAGAGATTGGATAGATTTGTTGCAAATGTGCAATGGCAGCAAATTTTCAAAGCATCACGGAGATCGAGCGAACTCAAACCATCGCCCAATCATATGTGATACAAGAGGTGAGGAGGATGCAGAGATCAAATGGGGATGGTCGTTTCGATTCGAGCCCCACTGGACAGAACATGAATATTGCCCCAAAGTGATAAAAGAGACTTGACAGATGCCGAATGGAGAAGGCATAATGACAAAGGTCGACCGCTATCGATCAGGCTTTGAGAAATGGAGTTGGAGTGCTTTCCCGACATTTGCCCAATAGAAAAATCGGCTCCAGAAGGTCATATGAGCCCTGGAAAGACGAGAAAAAACTGATAAAGTCATCCAACAAGTTCAGCAGCTTGAAAATGAATTGGCGGATGTCGAGCAATATTGGAAGCTGAGATCACGAGCCGACTAGCTAAAAGAAGGGGACAAGAGTACCAATTTTTTCCACAAGAAAGCTACATCGAGAAGACGAAGAAACTCCATCAGGAAAATTAGAAACGAGGTTGGTTGATGGTTTGTTGGGCAGGAGAAGCCCCGCCGGATTGGTGGAATATTATAGTACGTTTTTTACTGCAGGAGAAGCCCCACCGGATTGTCCGGTGTTGGATTCCATAGACCGCCGAGTGCAGGAAGAAGACAATGAAGAAATCCTTAGCCTTTTTACCGCGAAGAAGTATGGAGAGCGCTGAAGCAAATGGGGGCTCGTAAAGCCCCGGGAGTTGATGGGCTGTCGGTACTCTTCTTCCGCAAGTACTAGAGAATTTTAAGGGTGATGTAACAGCGGCGGTGCTGCAGATCCTTAAGACGGGTGTTATGCCAGAGAGACTGAATTACAATTTGATTGTGTTGATTCCAAAAACCAAAAAGTCGACAATGCCGAAAGATTTTAGACCGATCAACCTTTTTAACGTCCTTTATAAGATCATGTTGAAAATTCTGGACAATCACTTGAAGCCCCTCCTGGATAAGATTATTTCGCCACCCCAGAGTGCGTTTGTGCCAGGTTATTTTATTACTAACAATATTAAGGCTGCTTTTGAGAGTTTTCACTATGAAGGGGCACAAAACAGGAAGCATGTTTATTATGCAACCAAGATTGATATGGCTAAGACATATGACAAGGTAGAATGGAGATACTTGAAAGGAATGATGACTAGACTTGGTTTCGCAGACAGATGGATACGTCTCATTATGATTGGAATTACCACAGGGACCTACTCTATGCTAGTGAACAGACATTGATCCCCAGTTTTTGTTTCCAGTAGAGGGTTAAGGCAGGGCGACCCGATGTCACCATATCTCTTCCTGCTTTGTGCGGAGGGATTGTATACTTTCAAGACTAAAGAAGCAAATGAATATCGACTGCATGGTGTGCAGGTGACAAGGGGAGCCCCGGTGATAACCCATATTTTTTCCGCTGACAATAATATTTTTTTGCTAGGGCTACACAACAAGAAAGTATGGAACTAAAGATAGGCGTATGAAAGGGAGTCGGGACAACTAGTGTATCAATTATAATATATATATATATATGTATATATATTATATAATTAATATGTATACTTATCCGATCGATCGATAATCCGATTTTCGTCGAAATACTATCAAAACGCTTGATTTTAAATCGCGAACTTTCTAGCGATCGAAATATGGGTTTTGCCGGAACGGGATGTTACAGCTAGTCAAATTTCAGAAGTATGAGGTGTCTTTTGGCGCGAATGTGAAGCCGCACGAAAAGCTTCTTGTGAGTGGCACGCTGGAGATGAATATGGTTGATAAACATTACAAGTATCCTGGACTTGTGATTGAGGTGGGAAGATTGAAGAAGGATCTCTTTGTTGGACTAAAAGATCAAGTGTGCCATAAGCTGAAAGGCTGGAAGGAAATAGCAATTTTGTTGCAGCAAGAGAAGTACTGATCAAATCGGTAGCTCAAGCACAACTCACATATGCTATGTCAGTGTTCAAGATTCCTGATGGGAGTATCGATGAAGTTCATAACTGATGACTCGATATTTGCACATGTTTCCCCCTTTGTTTATTGATCGTTTAAGCTTGAATTATCGCTTCTTTGGCCTATTTTACACTAGGTTGTGTTCCTTTGTCACATTTCAGGTCCTAGCACATAAAGTGAAGTGTAGGCACAAGTTTCAAGTCAATCGGAGATCAATTGGCGACTCGGGGGAAGAAACTCGGGTATGACTTGAAGAAGATGGATTTCTACCTCATTTTGTGACCATATAATCATGTAATCTTGTCATGAGAAGAAAGAAGACGAGACTACGAGCGTCTGGGATCAATTGGCACCTGATTTGGAGTCCGAACGAGGGAGAAACGAAGAATCAAAGATAGGGGACCCGGAACTGCAAAATACCCGACCATATACCCTACCGGGTATTTTGGCCATCTGATAGGGGATTTTTGGCAACGTCAGAAGGCCCCTCGGTCGTGAACCAAAAATACCCGATCGGGTACCCAAAATACCCGACCGGGTCGCAAACACAGGCTGTTGAAAGCCTGTTTTGTGCGTTTTTGGAGAGGGAGAGCTGGGTTTTGGATCCCAAACACCCAAGGGACGAACCAAAGAGAGAGAGGGCGATTTGAGGGCATTCTTGGAGTGGAATTGGAGGATTTTTTTGCCTTGGAAGCTCGAGGAACAAGCCCGGACTTGAAGACTGATCATCTGAAGATTCTTACTGCAGTCTCTCTCTTCTCTATGGAGTAACTTCCCTTCACTTAGGTTTTGAGGAACCCTAGCTATGTTTGTTTGATTGGATGATTGTATGAATACTCCTACTTGATAATCTTGAGTTCATATTCAATCTATGCATGTTTTCATGATTCAATTATGCTTTAGTCGAGATTATTGATTCTGCTTTGATCCTATGAGAGCGAATACCTGATTAGGTCAATAGAGCACCATAGATTGATAGTATTGGATCGATTGCTTTAGTCGAGGGTCGATTCACTGCTTTATATCGATTGAGAACCTCTTTTGATAGAGGGAGTCTGGTTCAGAACGCCTTGATTGGTTGTTCTAGAGAAGGATACGTCCCTCTAGGCAATTGACTCAAGAGGGCCTTGTTCCTTTAGTCGAGACTCAAGGTATAGTTAAGGATTCTCCGCATTATGAATGAAAGTGAAACAGGTTAGAGATCATCAATCATTAATCTGGCTAGTGGCTAGGAGGAATCATACCTAAGTGAGTTCCCAACCTGTAATTAGATTAACTTTAACTGTAGTTTGCTAGAGTAGTTTTAGTTCTTTCATCTTAATCTGGTTTGCTAGATAATGAACTGAAGCTGAGTAATAGTAACTCTAGAGACCCGTGGATTCGATATTTATTACTTGAGCCACTATACTGCAGTCGCTTTCTTTGGTTACACTTGGCCTTTGTCAGGAGTTGTGTCATAGCGAGTCAAGTTTTTGGCGCCGTTGCCGGGGACTTTCTAGAGTATTAAGAAATGCAGAAGTTTGTTACTTTAGCGTTTTTCTTTTCTTTTCCACCCTTGCTTTTCACTTGGGTGTTTTTGTTTTTGTTGGTGCAGATCTGAATCATGGATCCTCATGGCTTCTCCAACCATTGGGGGTATCCACCACCGTCCGAGT